AATTACCTACTAATGGAGTCGGGGCTAAACCTGAACTGACGCAGAAAAACCAATTCAAACATAAGAATATCAAGTCTCATCTCCTGGTCAAGATCAATGTCGGTAAACAAAACTACCTATATCAAATTTGTCCATAGTAAGCCTTCATGGTCTCAAAATAATAATTAACCACCAAAGTCTGAATAAATCCTTATCAAGTAGTTATAGGTACATAGTTCTAAAAGTTGTAAAATTATATATTACCTAATATCTAAAACTAACAATTATAGTGATTATTTCATTCTAACTTTCACATTCTTCAAAAATAACAAAAATGTTGACAAAACACTGTTTCTATAGTTATTTTGATATTTTGTTTAAAGGTACCTAGATACAAGGTACATATAAAAATAATGTTGCCTATGTATGTTTAATATTTTTGAATTTTTATTAATGCAACTTATAAGAGAACCTTACATTTATTTTCCAAGACCTTTTACTATGTAAAAAAGATTTTATCGAGGATAATTTAAAAAAAAATTACAAAGTTAAAAATATTTTTCGAGGCTATAACTAGCTCAAAAAGAAACAGTCAAAATATTACGAAAATGTTTCCAAATATGGAAAATGCTATTATAAATATTCTGTGAAAATGTCAAGGGCCTACAGTTATTAGTTTTTGATCTACACCAAAAATATAAAATCAATTTTGTGTAATTTTTTTTTTCTTAACGCTTTCTAAAACTACTTGGGATTTTCAATCTTGATCTGTCAAAAATATCAACTAGATTCTTTTTATTGAGCATTTATTTTTTACAAGAATAATTATGGTTGAGCACTTGAAACTGACACTTTTAAGTTTATAAAAATCTAAATTTGCTAATAGCTGTTTTGCATGAGATATATTTGTAATTTTGTATACCATATGTATTAATGTATTATTGTAGGTTAATCAGTATTTGAATGAAAGGGTAACTTAAAGACTACCTATCCTTAGTAATTAATATATAATAGTTCTGAGCAAACTTAAATATTTTTCAAAGATACCACTCTATACACTAATTATGTATGTATATACTGACTCTGCAATAGCACAGAAAACTATTTGCATGTGGTTAGGTGATAAAATATTATTTGATGTTTAATGTAACACAACAATCATGACACCAAGGTATTTCACTGATTCTGCACATCTTATATTTTTTACAAAATAATTGTTGAATATTGTTAAACATGTACTTCAAAATGTTTCATTACTTATGTTTAATTGTTTTTAATAACAATTGACTACTTTAATATGATTAAAACAATGCTTACTTATTATAGTTTACATAATACATTATTATCAAGAAGTAAGAACCTCTCATATAAACAAATATGTAATATTCTTAAAGATAGGTATATTAAGTTCAATTTATTTTATTATTTGAATTGTGACATGTAATCAGTACCTAATTACAAATTTCAAAGGACCTACCTACCTATATTGTATTTTGTAACTAGAAAGGTAAGACTGTAGTCAATTTGTAGGAATAAAATTAATTATTAATGTAACATAGGTCACTGACCTATCTAAGCTTCAACTAATCGTGTAATGTGCTCAATCCGGCACAAGAGTTTAGTATGGCTTATATTTTATTTAATGTTAACAGATATAATATAGATAATACTACAGTATATATTACTAAATTGAAATTACAACATTAAATATATATAAAGACAAACAATATTGAATCATATTACAAGATGAAAATAGTAAAAATATTGGTATTCCTACTAGGTAATAATATAATATAGGTAACAATCAAATATTAAGTTAACATGCATTTTTTTTAAATTACTGATCAGCTATTTTTTCAACTCGCATTCAAATAATGGAGAGAATTGATTTCAAAAAATTATTCAGAATTGATTGATGAAAATTTAGTGCTTGATCAGGGAATATGATACTCAAAATTTTAAATTCAAAATATGTTAAAAAAATATAACAAAATTAAATAATGAACAGACAACTTGTTCAATTGATACCATTCCAATAAATTCAGCCTTTAACTTATACATTAAAAAATATAATATAAGTAATAGGAAATATAATGTTCTTAAATTCAGTCAGATAAATTCTCCACTTTTAGTTATATAAATACATTACCAGGCCTGTTTACTTATAGGTATCAAACAAATTTATTGTACCGAGCGACTAGTTTTTATTCATTAAGTTTACATATTTTACCTGTTCAAGTATTTTTAGGTAGATTTATATAGTTATTATAATTAACAATTATCAGTATTATTGCCAGCTTAAGCATTTTAATGTTGTGTTTTAATTTGATCAAAATCATTTGTAAATATTTCCGAATAATTCTACCAAGTACCTACGTATAGTTTTAAATTATTATTCTGTTAACCATGTTTCATATAAAATATTATATATTATTAGTAGGCCTTGTAATTTTATTTTTATCTAATAAAAAGTTAAAGTATTAAATTATTGAGGTTTTTGACCAAAATATTAAATAAAAAGCATTAAGTATTAAACAAAATTTTAATTCAACATCTATTTTCAAAATTGTTATCATAAAAGAGAAAAGTTTAAAATAGTTAAGTACTCAATAGAAAAACAAATTAACGAGAACAGCTAGTTGCTAGAGTAGTAGATGGGATAACAGATATGGCGGTATCAAAAATTGTAAACCTATTTTATCTTATTTATTAGTTACCTACAACCACGATGTAGAGAACATTGTGCCTACAACATTCTCTATTAAGGTTTACAATAGATTGAACATATTTCCTACTAAATAATGATTATCGTCAATAATTCTGTAAATAGGTAGGTAATTATAAAAATACAAAATATATGGAAAAAATATGTAAAAACTAAAAATGAATACCTACACATACGCTTTATTTTTAATAGGAATCAAGAAATCTGCATTCAATAAAATTATGTACTTACATGAAAATCCACGTCCCGATTATTTATTTCAATGTGAATGCGTGTGTTCGAGCCATAGAAGAAGGGTTCTTCAGTAGTTTGTTGGATTTGCGTCTAGTCACGACTCACTATCGACGAATCGGTAAACGCGATTAAAAACCGAATTATTAGATTTATATTATATTTATTTGACCCCTTAGCTCAAAAATCAAAATACGGAACTGGGAAGGGCCTAAAGGACAGGCAACATACAACGAAATCCATAAATACCGGACATTCTCGGTTGCTGAAATGTTGTCGGGTATCTAGAGGTGTTTGATAGGTGAGGTTTCACTGTACATAATATAATATCTTATAAGTCTAGTGACTGCATAATATCGTAGTCTTTACTATATTACTATTTATTTTACAACGAGAGACGAGAGTAAACAGTCATAGTACGTCAATACGAAATACGAATGTCGAATGTTCCGATCGGTGCCCGGTGGTCGCGCGAATCGAGAGATAGTGTTATCTTATCATCTTATGTACTGAACGGTGGCAAAGGAACGATCCGCGGCGTTCGTAAC